TCCTTAGGTTTCTGTTCCTAAAGAATCCCAAGATGTGTTTACAATATTAAAGAGAAGAAGGATGTCTGTTGCTTAATCACACTTGGGGAATTTAGCAAAGTTTATATATTTGTGAGCTAAGTGGCTAAGTGACCAAGTGACTAAGTGATTAAGCGACTAAGTGACTAAGCGATTACTAAATGACCAGAAGGTTCTAGCAACTAATGACTAATGATTATTAAGCAACTAAGCGACTAAGCAACTAAGCAATTACTAATCAACCAGAATGTTCCAGCAACTTCTACTAATAATAACAATACAATAATAGAATAACTAATACTAAATAATAATAATAAAATAGTAAAATAATAATAACTAATAATAATAATAAAATAATAATAATTCATTCTATAACAATATATATATATATATATAATAATTATAATAATATACAAAAAGAAATACAAAAAATAATTATAAAAAGGTATTCTAGTTGCACTATACAAGGTTTCAAAACTCAAAAAATTTAAACAATATTAAACAGTTTTTTTATATAAAGAAATATCTAAAAAAGATATAAAAGAAAGTTAAATAATATGCTTAAAAAAATTTATTGAAAAAAAAGTAGTATGTTATATATAAAAAACAGAAAAAACCTTAGATAAAATATAAGAGAATATAAGTAAAATATTCTTGAAACAGCAAGAAAAACATTCTCTAAAAAGAAAATACTAAACATTACTACTAATAAAAGAAATAATAAAGAAAAAAAGTCAAAGCTAACAAAGTTATCATCCTAGCTAAAAAGATAGATTAGTTTAGAAAAGAAAAATATTAAATTAGATTTAGTATTAGAAAATATAAAGTTTAATAATGCAATAGAATATATAAACCAGCATCATAAAACTAATATGAAAAAGATCTCAAAGATATAAGCAGAAAAGATAATTGCAGATCTGTAAGACTGATAAAAGATTTATATAAGAGAAGAACAGAAGAACTAAAAAAGAAGAGAATAAAGAAATTGAACAAAACATTGAAAGAAGAAGATAGTGATTCTAGCATACTTTGTTACATCACTACACAATTTTGCGCGCCGCTGGCTGATCAGTCTGGAGAATGCTTTGAAAACGGAACTTAGTAAACAATACGCGTTAAATCGTTTATTATTATTGTAATATCGATATGTAATGTATTGTATAATAATCGAAAGCCCGGAATCACAAGCCCCATTTAAAAAATTTCATAGAATATAAAGAATGTTTGTCACGCATGCACATATCCCTATAGGTCCGTGCGACTTTTAGTTGTTCATTGATGTTTCAATTAGATGTTTCGGATATGATTTTCACGGACTCAATAAAAGATTGTGTACCCAGATACATAAAACCAACTGCGCGGCGATACTGTACAGTCACCAGTAAAGGCATGTCCAATTTTCAAACGTATATATTACAGAAAGAAAACCGGGCGTTACTTTTGCGGTTCTTATTTGTTACAGGCTCTGATCATATGTTGCTGCGGTCTATAGGAACTGTAGGCAAAATCAGTAGTCGCCATAAGTACGTACGTAATTCTAATCTATTTCAAGAATTCCAGATTAGTTTTGTATATTATCATCCAAGGTTATGTGCATTTGTTTCGTAAGTCACTTTTTTTAGATTTAAACAACAAAGCTAATTAAATTAATTCCTGATAGGCTCGAATTTTTAGAAAAAGTAAATATAGTAAACATATAACAATAATGCCTAAGGCATATTGATTGGTACGCACTATCCAATTGCATGAAAGTTTATATAAGATGTTAAATGAAACCTTAACAGGCTTAATAATTATCAATAATTGCATTACGATTTAACCGTCATGGTAAATTATTTAAGTACTACATTACATAACGATAACACTTATCGTCAAACAAGTTTTTACGCATCACGAAACCCACCCCCACAGATTATGAAGAAATAAAAAACAAACATTTCAGAATAAACTCAGCGACTAATTGTTAAGCACTTATAATATTTGTAATGAGACTAAACTTTTATACACGTTAGCATATGCAAATAAGTGGCAACAAACCACATATGCTCTAAGCAGGTTAGAGAATAACAATGGTGTAGTTTGGTTAGGCATAGCTAGCATAGTTGGAGGCTTGATGTTATCGTTGGGGTATGATTCTTACATTGCATGACATTGAAAGACGAGTGAAATTTTTATCTAATTTATAACTAAACCCTTTATTTGATTAGATTGCTTTGATTCGTGACTATATTTAAACCATCACACCTGATGTAAATTGATTGGGTGTTCGCTTTTTCTGGATGAATTTTAATTAAATTATTATCGTTATCGAATTATAGTAAAAAACCGTTATATCTTTGTTGTAATTGATTTTTTATTCATGTGTTATGGATCATCAGACTAACATAATGAAGTATTTAGATTTAGTATTTATTGTTACACGATAGTACAGAATTTAATTAATTTTAAATCCAGAGTTTATATAACAAATAAATTCGTTACATCCTTAATCTTAATCGAAATATATATATTTTTCTTGGTGTTAATAAATTGTTACTACAATAATAATATCCATTATGCACATAACACAGATTTGTTTTTTTTTAGGATAAATGTTTCATAACCTTATTTCTTAAATGTCAACAAAAATATAAAAAAAAAACTTTCAATTTGATATTTCGAAAACAAATATATTAAACCAAAAACATGTCCTCATCTGCGTCACCCTTAACACTGATTTTAGAACCTACAAATGACACTTTTGTCACGAAGAGAATAAAGCTTAACAATACACCGGTCAAAATAGGGCGTACGACTAATAGGCATTCCGCTCCATTAGGTATCCACATTTTTAAAGATTTTTTCCTATCCTAGTTGAAATATTGACTTATATTACTTTTTTTTTCTAATTAGAATCTAATGGCTATTTTGATAGTAAGGTGTTATCAAGAACTCATGCTGAAATTTGGTGCAATAATGGCAATGTATGTTTTTTAATTAAAATTTTCGAAATGCCACAAATGGTTTGCTTAATTGTTTTAAAATACATCTACATATATATATATCCTGTATATCTGTTTAGGTTTTTATTAGAGATTTAAAATCTAGCAATGGTACATTTGTCAATGGAAGATGCATAGGTGCTGAAAACAATGAAGGCGATCCAGTTGAACTAAGGCATAATGACAAGCTGGTAAATTTTTTATTATTCTAATTCTATTTATTTTTTTTTATTTTATTTTTTTTATTTTATTTTATTATTACTAATTCTATTGTTATTTTATTTTATTTAACCTTGTTATTTTTTAATATTTGATAGGAATTTGGTATTGACATTATCAATGAGCAAGATCACAGGCTCATGTTTAGGAAAGTGGCTGCTGTGGTGTACATTGATTCTTCGAATGGAGATACACCAAGTGGACATGTGATTAAGTGCGTCATCATTTACAATATAAGTGCCATCAAGGGAAAACAATGATTTCTTAAATTTTGGATTTAACCTTTCACGGATTATGGCTTATCGGTTATATCATTTCATCATATTGAAATCTATATTTGATTTTATAAGATCTTGATATATCATAGTCCGGTAAACCTGTATCGTGTGATGCGAAATTTCTAAAACTTAAGAATTCCATGTTTTCCCCTGGCGGCATTTTCATTTTTGAATCTGATGTCTTAATATAAACTACGTACTTATTCTTTGTATACCTTTTGTTTCGTATCTATTACAAAGAAGTGGTGTGAGTTTTGTTTTCTCTACATATTGTTTATTTGAAGCTTTTAATATTTTGTAGTTAATTGTATTAAATAATAGTCTAGTTATAAACGTCGATCTGGACGATTTTCCGTTTTCGATGATCCTGAAGGTTCCATATATGCGTCTTTAGAGGTCGGTGAAACATTTTTTTCTTTAAGTTTTCAATACGAGTTCTATTACTTCTAATCATTAATATCATTTGCATTTTCTTATTGTTAGTCCGAATTACATTGTGCGCGTGACGAAAATCGCCGTTTGGCCGAAACAAGCAATATTTTAAACGACATGAATAATAAAATTGAAAATAAAAACAACAAAGTAATATGTCTATATATACAGTACCCTTCTTTTTCTTTTGCCCAAGTTTGGCATTTTTTAATTTACACTTTTTGATAATGTCTTTTATTAAGATGTTATTTGAAGATAAATCCTTCCTTATTCGCAAAATTGAAGATACACAAGCAAAATTTCAGGCTCACTTGGAAAAGTGCGAACCTGAGAAGGCCGCTCTTGCTGCTGATTTTACGAGGCAACTCGAACATGCTGCTTTCATACAAAATGAGTATGACGAAAAACTTCAATTATATGAAAAGAAAGTTCGTCAGCTTGAAGATAATCTAAAAACTATAAAGTCTCAAGATTCTATTTCTGATAAAGTAGAAGAATTAAAACAACGAGACCAAGAATTGACTCAATTGCTTGAGGATACTAAAGATCAATTACGAAGTGAACAAATTTTTCATTCCGAACAAGAAGAAAAATTGCAAAGCCAAATAGTTGAAATGGTCTCTCAACTAAATTCTTCTCGTAGTGAGATCGAAGAATTACAGCATTTACATGGGTCGGAAGTTGTTGATTTAAAAAATAAAATAAATGAAACCATGACTCAATTATATGATGCCCGTGGTGAGCTTGAGAACCTTCAAGTCTTGTACTCTTCTGATGTGGATAAATTCAACAATCAGATACATGAGCTTGTAACTCAATTAGATGACACAAAGAATGAACTTGAAAATACTCAAAACAAATACAAAGTTGAGATTGAAGATCTTCAAATTAATCACAAAAATCCTGGTTGTGATCAATCTAATGCATTCATTGAACTTGATGCAAAGCATAAAAGTGTTGTCTCTGAACTTTGTGAATTAAAGTTAAAATATAAACAGGTCATTGAAGAACATGAAACTTTAGTGCTTAAGCTCAATGAAGAACATTCGGCTATCATTGCTTCAAGAGATGATCATATCATTAAGCTTAAGGATGAAAATACGAATTTATTAAATCAACTCTCAAACTTTAAAGAAGAATCTCGTAATACCTTGGATGTTGTTAAAAAACAGCTTGTAGATGCTCAGGATGAGATTACTCATGTTGTAAACGAAAATAAGATTTTAACTCTAACCAATTCTGATTATCTTAAAAACATTGCTACTCTTAAATCTTGTTTGAAAGATACAAAGGGTGATGATGCTGAGCTTATTCGAGTAGAAAATGTGAATTTAAAGTTAGAAAATGCAAAAATAAAAGCAGAATTATGTCGTTTGCAGAAAGAGAATAAATCAGAAATCGATAAATTAGTCGCTGAAGAAGTATCTAAACGTCTTGGTGCTGAATCATCCAAGAGTGCTATATATCGTCGTCATCACAAGCAGGAATCTACAATCAAAGATTCAGAATGGACCGATTTCGAAAATATTGGTGAAAGGTCATGCAGTATAACTGGAACACAAAATAGAAAAAAGGATAATTCTAGACCGCTATTTATCACGGTAAATAATTATATCTATAATTTATTGATGTAATCTATTGATAATGCTGTATATTCAAATCGTTAATAATATCAATTATTAGGGAACAATCGGTCTTATTGCGATTAGTTTGGGTGTATATCTTATTCACAAACTGCAAAGATAAACATCACTTACTATCTATTACATATAGATTAATAATTAATTTTGATCAATTGCTCTGCTTACATAAAACCGATATGGTGATGATGTATAGTCCTTTTAACATCAAAAAATATTTTTAGTCCTTTATTTTGATTGATTCAAGTACATATATTCAATAAGTAAACCAACTTTGTGTAAATAAGCAAATTCTTTTTTATTCATTATTTATTCATCACATTCATCTGTACTTTTCTAAAAAAAACCCCCAAAACCTGTAATATCTCTATTAGAATTAATTTTAACTTGTAAAAAAAGAAACAAAAAGAAAAAGCGAAACTTCATATATAACACCATATCAGAAAACAATCCTTAGAATGTTAATAAAAAAAAAAACTTAATTTCGCTAAAAGGAAAATCATGAGTAGAGACCCCAGATTATGCATCGTGATGTGATATGATAAATTCAGAAACCTTATATATATTTATATTGTTCTAACTTTGATTTATTACTACATAATGTGATAATTATGAATTTGAGTTACAAAAATTACGAAAATGAAAAAAAAATTATTAAAAAAATATATCAACGAAAAAAAAATAGATATTAACGAAAAAAAAATTAAACTACCCTATTAAAATAAAGTTTAGCATCGATAAAGAATCTTGTGAAATATTATGCTGCTTATTACTTAAAATATTTTTATAATTACTAAAACTCTGTTCTACAACATCAACACCGGATACAGGTAACCAGATATAAAATAAAGCAATTTTTGAAAGAGAAGATAAACCGTCAAATTTTTCTTTCCAATATTTATCCAAGTTTATTTTTTCATCAAGTTTACAATAAATGTTCCATTCATTTAGTAATCATCACTTAAAATTTTAAATTCCTTTATTATGATATATCATTTAATATCTTGTTGTGATGTTGAATATTGAATAAATTTAGGGTCAAAACATTGTATAGCATTAAAAGTAATAATGTGGAATGATTATCAACATGTTTTGTAAGTTTGTCAAATGATAAGTAAAAAGCTTGCAAAAAAATTAACTTAAAGAACTTAAATTTAAATTCTTATTTTGAATCATTTTGCATATAAATATGTTAAATAATGGATTTTTAATATCTACTTATAACATAACACAAGTTTAACTAATCTATGAAAAAACTTAAGTTACAAGTTTATTGTGAATTTAAAAAAATTCTAAATTTTGAATTAAACTAATTAATATAGTTAAATAGTAATTATATTTAATAAATATAATATTATACTATATATTTTCATTATTGAGTATTTAAAATAATAAATTTAATAATTAATTCAGTTATCAGAATATTTTTATAATTGATTAATTCTTTAACTATTGTTAAGTGTATTTTTTATAATAAAAAATTGAATAAAAAATAAAAAGTATAATTTTATTTAGATAACAAAATTAAACCAACTATTTTAATAAGTTTTTATAAATAACAGAGACAATTATAAATTAAATTTGAATAATTTTAAAGACAAACCTAATGAATTTGTTAATTAAGATTTGAGAAAAGAAATTTACTCATTTTTTTTTATGAATAGAAAAATGAGAAAAAACTTCTTTGATATTAGAAGTTATAATTACAATAATCTTAAAATTATTAAAATATATTCAATAATCTCTAACTTAAAATGTAACCAAAACAATAATTATATTTAAGTTGAAATATTTCTTAAACTAAAATATTTAAATAAGTTTTTTTTATATATAACATTATTACTAATAAATAAAACAACTTTAAAAAAAGAAATAATATAAAAATTTAAAGTTGATATTATTAATTGTAAAATAGTAAAATAATTAATGTTACTTAAAAGAGGTGTAGTGACCTAGTGAAGTGGTCAGGTTGTCAACCCCCCAAGTGGTAGATTGGATGTTCAAATCCCATCGATGGTGAAAATTTGGATAATCACCTATGTAATATTTGTATTATAGCAACTGTTACTAACAATTGGGTTAGGATACCTGTAATAGTGGTCACACTAGCATGACTGACAGGTTATGGGGCATCTGTGTAAGTATGGCATTACACAGAAGAATGCAAACTGACAAATCAGGCAGTGCAAACATTAGATAAGTCCTTGTGATCATGTAAATCTGTTGAAATTAGGTAACAAGAAGTCCATTTGGAAAGACCTGACTAGAGAGATAGCTAGATCTTCGACAGCCCTACTGTAAAGGCTAGCCCAGAGAAATGGATACCAAGGTCATAGTATCTGGTCATAGTAGCCAGACAAGCAAGAACCTCTAGGTTGGATGGTTCGGAGGTACCACCAACTAGGCTGCCAGAACGAACTAGAGAAAAAAGATATTAGGCCAACCTGATATACTGATAAACTGGTTGTAATCCTACACAGGCTATTTAGATTGGAAGTTTGGTAAAAAGGCTGGACAAAAGGCAAGAGTATACTAAAGTACCAGGGTTATGCTGAGAAGTAGATGCTAAGGTCTAAGTGAACTCTACA